CTGATGGGAGTCACAAGGCAGCCTGAACTGCAGGTCCCCCTTTTTGGGGTCTTCCTCATCATCTACACAGTCACAGTGGTGGGCAATCTGGGCATGATTACCTTGACCCAAGTGGACTCTCATCTACACACACCTATGTATTTTTTTATCAACCATCTGGCTTTCATTGATCTTGGTAATTCTACTGTCATTTGTCCCAAGATGCTGGTAAATTTCGTTGTGGATCAAAATACCATATCCTATTATGCATGTGCCACACAGTTGGCTTTCTTTCTTATGTTCATTATCAGCGAATTTTTTATCTTGTCAGCCATGGCCTATGACCGCTATTTGGCCATCTGTCACCCTCTGCGCTACAATGTTGTCATGTCCCGGAAATTTTGTCATGTGCTGGTGGGCATCCCATATCTCTATGGTACCGTTCAGGCTCTAATGTTCACTGTTAAGATTTTTACTTTACCCTTTTGTGGCTCTAATGTCATCAGTCATTTCTACTGTGATGATGTCCCCTTGTTACTTATGCTCTGCTCAAATGCACAAGAAATAGAATTGTTGATCATACTATTTTCAGCACTTAATTTGATCTCTTCCCTCCTGGCCATCCTACTGTCCTATGTACTGATTCTGATATCCATATTTCACATGCGTTCTGCAGAGGGCAGGAAAAAAAGCTTTCTCTACGTGTGGTTCACATCTGACAGTGGTGTTTGTGTTCTACGGGTCTCTACTCTTTATGTACATGGAGCCTAATTCCACTCACTCCTTCCATACTGATAAACTGGCCTCCGTGTTTTACACTTTAGTGATCCCCATGCTTAACCCCTTCATCTACAGCTTAAGGAACAAAGAAGTAAAAAACGCCTTTTATAGGATCTTTAAGAATCAATGCAAACTTTGTATCTAATATCCAATATGGAATATTGTTTTAAAAAACTGTGATAAAGGCAAATGTTACTTGATAATATTTCTAATAAATATAATTGCATTCTTTTTGGTTCCACAGCCAAGTCTAATTAAAATTCAGCCAAATGGATCTTCATATTTTAGATCTCAATTAAATGTCACTCCTTCCCCAACATCCCAACATTCCTTGCTGTTGATTCAATGCTTCCTTTAATGGTTCCACAGAATCCCCCATCTCTCCCAGCAGAAACATTTATTAAACTCTACGTCACCAAACTGTGTTTGTTTCTGCCAGGTTTGTTTTTTTTTCTTTATGGCAGGTATCTTTTCAATCATGTTTTCATTGTATTTTCTGCACAAAACAGGAGTGTAAACGGTAATCCTCTTAAAGAGCAGATAATTGGATCACGATTTTTTTAAAATTCATTCTACTAGTCTCTGCCTTTGGAGACTTCAATCCATTTACATTTAAAGTAACAATATTACAAGGTTTCTTTGAGTTTCTTACTGAACATTAATTTGGGCATGCCTATAGTGAAAGTCCACAAATCTATTAAAAAAGAATAATCACAGAATTATAAGCTGAATAATTCCAGAGATGACAAAGCCCAGGAAGACATTAGAGTTACAAAAAGCCAGAAAGCAGAATCTTTGTTCAACACCTGGGCATCCAGTATAGAGGATCTCAGAGGTAAGATCTACTGTAGACTTCTACTCACACAATTTGAAAACAAGTCCTAAACAGAGCCACCAAATCCCTGTTTAAAACATTTAACATTCTTTTAAGAAGACAGAAAAATACAACACTTATTAACATAAAAATTCACAATATTTAGCATTCAATCCCAAATACTAGACATATGTGAGAGCAGGAACATGTGATCTCATCCAGGAGATGATTAAAATGGATTCTTAGATGACAGTGATGATGGAATTATTGGGCAAGGACTTTAAATTTATTATAAATATGTTCAACATACTAAATAACTTAATAAAAACACTAACCTTTTGAGGAGGCAAAAAAAAAGATTAAAAATAACCAAATGGGACTTCAAGAGATGAAAATAGAGTACTAGATATAAACTAATATTTGCTGAATAAGGGTAACAGCAGATTATACAGTGAAAAAGAAACAATAACTGCTCTTAAACACATAACAAGAGACATTACCTAAAATAAAGCCAGAGAGAGACAAAAATACTGAATAATACCATGATCTGTAGAAAATAGCGATCTGTAGAAAAATAACAAGCTACATACTGTACATCTAAGTGTAGATCTAAGTGGAAAGAAGACATTACATGGTGCAGCAAAACCATTGGAAGAATGTTGGACAGAATTTAAAAAAAAGAAACCCTATAACCCAAGATATAAGAAGCTAAAATAATTCTAAGCAGGATAAACAGAAAGGAAATTATACCAAATCACATCACATAAAATGTCTGAAAACCAATGATAAAGAGAAATCCTTGGAATTCAACCTGCAATTGTCAACCTATAGGTTGACATAAGGATTATATGTCCATCAAAAATATTCTTGGTTAATGGACACTGTATTATCAAATACTGCAGAATCTTTTTCTACGAAGTCATTTGTTCATTTGCTCGTGCATTTTGTGTGCATGTGTGTGTGATACACCTAATATGCATATTTCATTTTGTAACTGAGATGCTGACAAAGTTATACTTATGTTTTTCAGTGTTGTGATGTATAATTTATTTCATTAGACCCAGGCATGAAATATTTTTTATTTTTCCTAGTAGAACATTTGGAGAATAATTAACAGGTATACAAGGCACCCTCCCTCAGGTGATTAGGTACATTTTTTTAATCCTTGAATCAGATCAAAACGTTAACAAAATGAGTCTCAAGGGGATAGCAAAACACTTAAAAACATTCTGCAATAGACAATGAGGGTTAAAACAGTAGAAAGTCAAAGCAGATTCTCCAGTAAGGTGAGTAGAAAACACTGGTCTTCCACAATTTCTCAGGACATACAGCTTAAACCCAATCATCACCGTAGACCTTGAAGGGCGTTAAGTTCTGCAAAACTGTTTCTCCCCTTGCAATGTACTTTCCGGTCATCAGTAGGACTCGTGTGCAGGACAGATCTGTTATATCATCTCTGATACTCTGTTCTATGCATTTAGATCATCTCAGTTTTTCAAATAAACTTAATGCTTCAGTTATCTATCTTAACAAGAATCTTTTTCTATCCTAATTCAACTGGTGTCCCTCCTGTCCCACTTTCCTTTCCTCTCTGCTTAGGGTGACCTTAACAAAGCAGAAGAATGTCTCTGTGTTTATGAGGATATATTCTGAAGACAGAGTAACATTTATTAATACCACTTATTTCCTGGGTGACATTTGTTCCTGTGCCCCAGTTTCCTTGACACTCAGATAGATTATGCTAATACAGTTGACCTTCGAACAACATGGGTTTGAACTGCACAATCCATTTACATGCAGATCTTTTTTCAGTACGTATGCTACTATGTTCATCAGTGATGGTTTGTTGAATCTGCAGATGCAGAATCCCCTGTGGATATGGAAGGTGAACCATAAGGTTTAAGCATTTGCAGATGTTGGCATCTGCAGCAGGTCCTGGAAGCAATCCCCTGTGAAAACAGACAGCTGACTGTACAGTTTATTTCCTAGAATTATTGTGTGGATCATATGAGTTACTATATGTAAAGTGCTCAGGTAAATGCCTGGCATTTAATGAGTTCTCTATCAGTGCTTGATGTTCATTTGTATTCTTCTTTCAAGTGGGTCTCTTTACATCAATTTCCATAATCCATCAGCATTAATAAATAATCAGAATGGCCAAGCCCTTTTTATATAGAAGTGGGATGTATGATTGGAAGATCATTCGAGGTGATTCAATAGTCAGAAACAACTGATGTGGCAAATGAGGACAAAGATATTAACAATGAAATTCTGAAATTAAAATATTATAACATTGGATCTTATGTTGGGAAAACAAGCTGGGCTATAGTCGGTGAAAAGTACTGAAATTTGTACTCAGTACTCAGAGGTTTTTCTAATCACCGTCTAACTCATCACTCCAACTGTTTAGAAAGTCTTTTTGTGTCTTGCAACTTTAAACAGATATGGTGATTGTTAATAATATAAGGTTTATGGTTTAGGTGTAGATTTTTTTCTTTTACAAATTACTTGGAAATTTTTAAAACCTGAAATATAATAAGTCACGATATATTTCAAAAGACTTGGGTAAAAAGAAGTAGGCCATAGTAGCCATCTCAGAAAAATCTCTTCAAAATGTCTTGCCCCCTTAAAGCATGCTTTACCAAAGTGTTAATGAATCTGTGTTTCGTGTTGGTCTCAGTCTATTGGTAGTGATTCTATCAACGAGGAAAGCCTGTGGGCACTCTAATGCCCCTTACTATTTGCAGTGGGCCCTCACAGATATTTCCCCAACTAGAGTCAGTGTGTGATGGCTGGACCAGCCCTTGTGAATTTTATTACAATTGCAGGATACACCTAAGCAACAATTTTCAGGGAACTTTTGAAAAACAGGGTTTATAGCACACATTCTGGAGGGTTCATGGCATACTCAGGGCCAGGCAGAGAGGCTGAGGAGAGAGAGAGAGAGAGAATACCATGAGTTCTGGCTTGATTATGGTCAAGGGTGGGGCACCTAGATTCACTTTTTAATGGTGCATTTAAAATGAGTAGGAATTAAAGTGCAGGAAGGGAAGAGCAGGGTCAATCAAGCAGTCAGTTACCTACATCATCTAGGATTTTCTAAAAGAGAATTTAACAGACAGGGCAGGCTGGCTACCTGATTGTGTAGCTGGAAATGTATTTATTTGAGGTGGATGTCTTTGAAATCCTCCGCAATCAAAAGCTTAATGTCAGGAACTTATATTACAATCAAAAAAGCTAATCATTAGGCCCTTTCACTGCAGTGTGAATGTAGATGTGTATAGTTTTGACCTGATGGGAAGAGGAATCTTTATTTACAATTTGAGACAAAGAAAAATGACTATATCTCATGCACCATGTATGAAATTCTCTTAGAAGATAGCATCTCAAGTATAATCAGTACTGATTTTACACACAGGTCACCAGGATGAACCATATGGAGAAACATAATCATACTGCAGTCTCCAAAGTGACAGAATTTATTCTCCTGGGGCTCACTGACAGCCCAGGGCTGCAGGCACCTCTTTTTGGAGTCTTCCTGGTCATATACTTGGTCACAGTGATGGGCAATCTGGGCATGGTTATCTTGACCCATTTGGACTCCAAGCTACATACTCCCATGTACTTTTTCCTTAGACATTTGTCGATCACTGATCTTGGTTACTCCACTGTCATTGGCCCCAAAATGATGGTCAACTTTGTGGTGCACAGAAATACAATTTCCTACCATTGGTGTGCCACCCAGCTAGCCTTCTTTGAGGTTTTCATCATCACTGAACTGTTCATCCTATCAGCAATGGCCTATGATCGCTATGTCGCCATCTGCAAGCCTCTTTTGTACAGGGTCATCATGGCAGAGAAAGTGTGTTGGGGACTGGTACTTAGTCCCTATCTCTATGGCACTTTCGTGTCACTATTTCTCACCATTAAGTTATTTCAATTGTCCTTCTGTGACTCTAACATCATCAGTTACTTTTACTGTGACTGCCTGCCTCTGATATCCATGCTCTGCTCCGACACACATGAGTTAGAATTGATCATTTTGATCTTTTCAGGGTGCAATTTGCTCTCTTCCCTCTTGGTTGTTCTTGTGTCTTACATGTTTATTCTTGTGACCATTCTCAGAATGAACTCAACGGAGGGGAGATACAAAGCCTTCTCCACTTGTAGTTCCCATCTGACAGTGGTGGTCGTGTTCTATGGGACATTATTGTTTATTTACCTGCAACCCAAATCCAGCCATGCTTTTGCTATTGATAAAATGGCCTCTGTGTTTTACACCCTAGTGATCCCTATGCTGAATCCATTGATCTATAGCCTGAGGAACAAAGAAGTAAAAGATGCTCTGAAGAGAACTTTAACTAATCAATGCAAAATGTCCCATTAATATCTTAATATTCAGTTACAAATTAAGTCCAAAGATTGTTGTTTAATACCCTGTCACTCTGATTATAGCATCAAAAATGCGAATGTTTTACCAGATTGTTTTTCTCTTTTTCTGAATAAAACACTTTCTCTTAAAACTCCTTGTACTCTTTTCCAATTCAATTGAATAAATATGGCAGCCAGATAATTTAAGTCCCAAATGATTTTCAAGGTCATATTGGAATTTAAATGTTTTTAGAGGTAAGGCAGATCATGACAAATTTTTGCTTAAATTTTGACTTAAATAGTTGCTTGAATAGTCAACATGGAGTACCATCAACCAGAAAATTAGTAATGTATATGTCACAGCAGTCACTGTATATTAAATATAAATAAAATTAAACCATAGAAATGTGTGGGTTAGACAAGAGGCAAGAAAGTAAGTAAATCTCTGATTATAACACAATATGAACAAGCTGCTTCAAGAATCTAAGCTGAATAAGAAATAAAGCATGAACTTCAGAATGGAATTTTCAATCTGATTGCATTCATATTTTTTAATCTCAAGGCTAGAATGAGCATTTGGGAAGTTTTTTTTTAATTAAAAACCATGAGAAAAATATAGGCTAACTCTGGGTCTCCCATAGACCATCAAACTATAGCTGACTTTGGCTTATGATAGCCTCCCAACAAACAAGTTGCGTTGAGATTGGCAAACTCAAGAAAAGTAAGTTATCTGGTCATTTACTAAAATGACATCAATATTTTGAAAATCTTTGGCAGTGATAACAAAGATTAGAGATGAATGACACACTCTAGGGTTAATTGCACTTTCATTACGTCTATTTTGTCTTCTTCGCGGGCTCGTATATACACAGAGCCAATATTTTGAATGGATTCTGCTAACAACACTTTATTCCCATTGTGTACTCACTCAGCAAATAAACAGATTCCATATGTCTTAGTCTCCTCTTTGCTGTTTGAAATGGACTTTTTAAAATTTTTTAATTATATACACTACCCTAGTCATGCTTGCTTCAATCTGTGCTAATATTTAAAGAGAAAATTGTGGGGAATTAAATCAAAATCTGAACTAGGGTCTCTTTACCCCAGATCTATGCATTTTGTTTATTTGTCCCTTTTTTAATACACTGTGGTTTACTTTATTGAGAGTTCATCTTAAGTGTTCTCACCACAAAAGAAAAAAAATTGTGTGAAGCAATGGATATGTTAATTATCTAATTATAATAATCATGTCACCTTTATATACATATATCAGAATATCATATTGTACACTGGAAATACATACAAATTTTATTTATCATTTATAATTTCTATAAAGCTGGAAAATATTTTTAAAATGTAAATAAAAAAGAAATAAAACGTAAAGTAAGCAAAATAAAAGAAATACAAAATTGCATTCTCCAAAAATATCAACTTTGTTTACCTGGTAGTTTTCAATCCTGTCCCTAAGCGTATTTACTGTTATAAATAAATTTTATTTTCTAGAGTAATATTTTACATTATACTGCAAATACTTTTTTGGTCACATGTATTTCTTTACCAAATTATAGCATTTCCATTACTTTTTACAGTATATAAATAAAGTTAATTAATATTAATAGCATTCTGCAGTATCATTCATATAGAAAGAACTTTTAAAAAATCCTAATACATCATATTTCCTACAACTTACTTTTCTAACTTGAGAATTTTTTTTATAATCCATAGAGACAAAGTTTTAAAGGATATGTAAAGTTGTATTAAAAATATGTCTATACTTTACTTAATAAATTGACAAACCATATACATATTTCCAGCATTCCTCCATACTAAGAATACTCATGAAGATTTTTATAGATTTTAATAATTTGTATGACTTCTGCAGAGCAGATTTCGAGGAGCCATTTTCTGCCTACTGGAGAGATGCATGTTTCCAAGTGTTTTGAAACCTAGAGCAAGATGTCCAAAATAAGTACCTCCCTCAGGTCATGACACCTTATCATTTTTAGGCTGGTCAAAGCCCCTCTCTTTTATTTATTTATTTTCCATTCCAATTTGTTCTGGGCTGAATTGTGTCCCACCAGAATTCATATGTTGAAGACTAAGTATCTCAGAATGTAAGTGTCCTTGGAGACCAGGCCTTTAAAGGAGGAATTAGTTCACGTGAGTTGTTAGGGTGAGCCCTAATGCAATAATGATTGATCATTTATCGGCAAGCCAGGGAGAGAAGCCGCACAGAAGAAACCAAATGCGCTAGCTTCTTGATCTGGGATTCTAGACTCCAGAACTGAGGAAATTTATCTCTGTTTTTAAGCCACTAAGTCTGTGGTATTATGTTATGGCAGTCCAAGAAAACGAATACATTTCTCATCTTTATTTCTTTATTCAGTCCCCGCTACCTCCACCAGGTAACCATCCCAGTGTATTCAAGGTGAATCTGTTTTCTTGTGTTCTTGCAAAGTGTACATTACTGTTCCATGTGCATGTATGTATACCCCATATAAATGGCATTTTGCTGTATACTTCAACTTCCAGCTTTAAATTTAAGGCCTACAGGGGAAAATCTTATGACAAAAAAAAATAAGTATTGTTGCAAAGAGGATTTAAGCCCCAAAGAAAAGAAATCCTTCAGGCCAGTTTTCTTTTTACATAATTCTCTTAGTCTTTAAACACACAAGAATGTGTATCTGAAACATTTAGTCTTTAAAAAATATATTTGTGTGACTGGAAATTTATAGACATGACACAAAGGCTTTATTTTTAAATATTGTTTTGATTCCTCTCTAGGAGTTATCTTCTGCCTTTTCTCACCTGGAATATAATCATAAAGAAAATATTAAAATAATATTTTTATTACTGAGGATTGTTTTTAGGATGACACATCCTCCTCTTTTGGGAGGGTGGGGGAAGTGGTAATTAGGTTTATTTATTTTAATGGAGGTGCTGAGGATTGAACCCAGGACCTCTTGCACGCTAAGCGTGCACTCTACCACTGACCTCTACCCTCTCCCCACATCCTCCTTTTAATATCCACTCTATCCCATTTCTTAAAATAATAACTGTACAGATTTTGTATTCTTTGAGCTAAAAATGGGGGAAAAAACCCACTAGAGATAGTGGCATAATACAAATATAATTTATAGATAGAGTTTGTTCCAATTTCACCATTAGCCCAATGGTCTCTCGCTTTCCAATACTGCATTTTTGCAATAACAAATCTCTGACTGCAAATGAGTTACCTCTACAAATACACTTTAATCTGATGTCATGGAGTTGAGCTCCCTTCAATAATGTAGGTCAGACTGCCACAAAATAAGACTGCAGGGTTGTCTGGTTGAACTCCTACAGGGAGATCTTGTTAAGGAGCCAATCCCAAAAGACATCTTCCCAAAGGATGCAGAAGGCAATTTGTGGATGCTAGAGTCTCCTGTGTTTCAGAATTGGGCTCTCAGTGGTTTATAAGGCCCATCAACCCTCACTGCCACAGAAATTCTAAGAAGCTAAAGCAGATTTTCCATTAGAGGTGGGTAGAAAATATTTATCTTATTTCTGTATAAATAACCTTCAAAAGATCCAAAACTATACCTTAAACTGAGCCACTTCACTTTCATTTTGGAAGGCACTGGGCATTATGAATGATCAAGTAATATGCTACTTAAAGTAAAGCTTATTTCCAAGATTAACATTTTTGGAGATAACACATCATTAAATATCACCCAGTTATTTATGTTTCAGAATTAGAATTGGCATCCTTAGGTCTTCTGTATGTAAATAAATTATATCATTACTGAAACAATAGATTTTTGCTCACTGAGATTATTTATATCACAGTTTTATTTCTATAATATTAGCTAAAATGAAAAAAAGTGTGTTTCACAAAAATAACCTGTGAAAGAAAATTAGATACACAATTACCCAAACTTTACATGATGTTCCTTTCTGAGAATATAACTATACATCAGAAATTTTCTCACCAGATCTCCTAAAGCAACTGCTTAAATCGTTCTAAACTTTTTGCTCATAATTTCTATCCCCTTCCAATCATTTAATTCATTACTTTCATAATAGAAACAGTTATTGTTTTAAAATGGAAAGCTGATCATATTATTCACTTATGTTAAAATTTACCAATGCCTTGCATTTCACTTAGAATAAAATTCAAATATTTATTGTGACCTACATCATCTAATTCTACTAATTCTGCATTTTCTCATTATTATTCCAGTCACATTGGCATTCATTAAATTCCTTCTCAAAAGCAAACGAGAAAAAAACTCCAAAACTTGGTTACTTTTTACCCCAGAGCAGCATCTTCAAGAAATACACTCGTGCCTGGAATCCTGGAATGTTCTTCCTGTGGTTTATTCAATAGTAGGTTCCTTTCCATCCTTTAGGCTTCAGTTCAAATGTCACCTCTCAGAAAGGCCTTCTCTTAACGTCCTGTTTGAAATAGTTCTCCCAGGTTATCCTCATGCATCTTTGTGTGTAATTTACTGACTGTGCTTCCTACAATCTACAATTAGCTTGTCCCTATGTTTTGTTTCAGCCCTTTGTCTCGTTCTTATTATTGAAATTGTAGATCCAGAGGTGAGGGACAAGTAATTTAACTGGATCTTGAACATTCCTTGGCATGAGTAGGAAATAAATGAGTAAGAGTATGACTCAAAGAAATCAAGGGGAAGAACAATGTTGAGGGTCAGAAGCAAACGAATAACAAATGCTCAGTGATGTTAGGAGTTATTGCGGTCTTATTGCTTCAATTCTTTTTACATTCTTGCTTCATTCCCTTTCCTCACTGGAGAACAGTTTTCCTTTTTTTTTAAATTTTATTCTTTTTCAAGAGATAAAATATTTCAGACTCTGACCTTTTTTTACAGTTCAGGCGTTTATGATATATATCTTTTTTCAAACCTATTTATTGAGGTATGATGAATGCAACTGACATACAAAATGCTGTACCTCTTTAATGTACACAACTTGATGAATTTGAAGATAATATACAGCAGTGAAACCATTATCACAATCTATGTCATAAACATATCCAGCATTTTCGAAAGGTTCCTCTTGCCCACTTTATGATTACAATTATGGTTATTTACACATGTGTGTGTGTGTGTGTGTGCGTGTGTGTACACACTTAAATTTTTGCTAAAGGTTACATCTTACACTAAATTGTGGTCTAAATGCCAATATAGTGTTAACACTCTGGAACGTAACTCCAAATTTGCAGGTAAGAGACTATGACAGGACTTCCCTGGGCCAGCTGCCCATCACTGGAAATATCAATTACAACTTGGCAGGGGCTCTAACTTGCTCAGTTAGGAGCAGGTGATCATCCTTCAAACAAATATCTCTAGGAAAATATTCATGAATATTATAATTGCATGCTCATTTTTTGGCAAATATGTGTAATGTGAGGATCATAGAAGCTTTATTAAAATAAGAAAGCCTATTATTACAGTAAAAAATATAAAAAGTGTAAAATTATGTGAAGAAAAAGATCAATGGAAAATTAAGTCCATATACATTTTAAAAATTGTATAAGTAATGCTACAAAATTCTACAAATTAAATTACTGGTTAAAAATAAAAATGGAAAGAATATGAAGAATGACATCAACTTGAGGCATAAGAAGGAAAAAAATTATGAGAGGAAAGAAAATGATGTATTATCCGATACAGCATAGTGGATAAAATCACAAAAATGGTCACATTTTCACAGATACCAACTTTTTAATCTAAACAGAGAATCAGCAACCAAAAAAACTGAAATGAGGACACATCTCCATGTATGTTTATCTGAGTTAACAAATGAGCAAAAGGAGTTAACAGAGAATCTGGATGGTAAAATGTGTAAGTTCAAGGTACCTCAAAGTTATAGAAGGATTTGAATAAACAAAAAGGAGCAAGATAGTGACTAGATCATTCATTCTTCAGGAAAAGCAAAGCAAGAATCCCACACTAAGAAATCACAAGGAGACATTCAATTATTTGAAGTCATGCGATTACTCAAACCTTTCTCATATTCAATGCATGAGACATAAAACATGAAATATGACTTGTACTTTTTGTGAACTAATAAGATATTATTTTATAAGGTTTTTGGGAAATAAATTCTCAAAATACGCATGACTCTGAATCGTCTACTTGATTTTCCATACTTGCTTTTCCTCTTTACCAAATGATTGCAAAGTTGATTTACTAGACATAGAAACTTGAGTTTAATAACTGAGATTAATACATAATTCCAGAAAATCTCATCCAAGGAATTGTCTTTGTCACACAATGACAGTCCTAGAAAATAATTCTTAAAATTTGTAACCGTGTCTCTTTTTCTTGCCTGAAGACATGACTTTCCAAACTCTTACATGGCTCCTAGGAATTTCAGCTGAGTCACTGAGTTTATTCTCACGGGAATCTCAGACCGTCCAGACCTCCAGATCCCACTCTTCTCTGTGTTCCTGGGTGTCTACGGGCTGACCGTGGCAGGGAACCTGACCATCATCACTCTCACCAGTGTTGACTCTCGACTTCAGACCCCCATGTATTTCTTCCTCCAACAGCTGGCCACCATCAACCTTGGGAATTCTACAGTCATTGCCCCTAAGATGCTGATCAATTTTTTAGTAAAGAAGCACACCACCTCCTACTATGAATGTGCCACCCAGCTGGGAGGGTTCCTGGTTTTCATTGTAGCTGAGGTTTTCATGTTGGCTGTGATGGCCTATGATCGCTACATGGCCATTTGTAACCCCCTGCTCTACGTGGTGGTGGTATCTCGGCGGGTCTGCCTTCTGCTGGTTTCCCTCACGTACCTCTACAGCTTCTCTACTGCTGTTGTAGCTTCATCCTGTGTATTCTCTGTGTCTTATTGCTCTTCCAATGTAATCAATCATTTTTTCTGTGATATTGCCCCTCTGTTAGCATTATCTTGCTCTGATACTTACTTTGCAGAAACAGTGGTATTTATATCTGCTTCTACCAATTTGGTTTTTTCCATGGTTATAGTTATCATATCTTATTTCAACATCGTTTTGTCCATCCTAAGGATACGTTCATCAGAGGGAAGGAAGAAAGCCTTTTCCACGTGTGCTTCACATATGGTGGCCGTGTCAGTTTTCTATGGGACGATGTTATTCATGTATTTACAGCCTCAAACTAACCATTCTATGGACACTGATAAAATGGCTTCTGTGTTTTATACACTGGTGATTCCCATGCTGAATCCCATGATCTACAGCCTGAGAAACAAGGATGTGAAGGCTGCCTTAAAGAGACTTCTGACAAATTCATGCTGTTCTTTAAGTAAATGTCATCTTGGCACTATAGGTAAATGAAGAGACGGTTAAGTTAGACTGTCATTATGTCAGAGAAAGCTAAATTTAGGAAGCTGATTTATAGGTTTACAAGCAATCTTGGCAATTAAAAGGGGCTAAGATTTGGGAGGCACTAATTTAAAAAATAAACTGAAGCTCTTGGCATGATGAGGTTGATACAGAAACAAAGCATTATTTACTAATTTTCTCATGGAGTGTGCAGTTAGCTAGATTGAAAGAATCATTTCCAGAAGTTTGCAGAGACATCAGCTTAAAAAAATAAGTTAAAATGGAGCGACAAATTAGTGATCAAGAAAAGTAAGTCTCTCTATCTTATTCTTTGGCTTCCTTTTTTCCTTCCTGGATATTTTTTTGGTATAGTTGATCATGGCATCTTGAGGAACTAGAATTACAGATGGCTAAAACCCTCACAGCTGAGTTAGCAAAATTAAACTGACAAGTTACTTAAAATAAAACCCCCTAACTCTTTCTTAGTATTGTTTGAATGAAAAAATATACACTTCTGATAAATTTATATTTTGAATGCTAATCAAATATGATTCAATTTTTTTATTCCAATTGTTATAATCTATACAATTTTTTAATGAAAGATAAAGAATACCATCATTGAATATGCTTTCATGCTGAGTACTATTTGATTAGACTTGGTAGAATCTGTAATAATTCCTTTCTCCCTACTATAAGCATCAGACTTCTGTAGTATGTGTAATAAACAGACTGTGTTTTTATTATCAAGTGTTCAATGAGTCATTCTTGTGAAATTCTTGACATTATTAGAGGAAAAATTGAATTGTTTTTGTAAAATTTTTTTCTGTTTTCTGTTAGTTTTTGAGTGTACACCAACATATATTGTACAACTGAATAAATAGAGTTAATCACACTATATCTCAGATTTATCAAATCAGAATTGAGTTAGCCAGTATGGTAATAAATTAATGGGGTACTATTTACATCATGCATGTAACCATTCTGGACATTTCCCGTGAAGAAGAAGAATAAGCCTTTTTTGAAATTAATTTACTAAAAACCCTTAGACCTCTAGACTAGCCATGTACCTGGTACACAAACAACATCCCAGAAAATACTTGGTTTCATTTGGACTCTCAAATAGTGAAAATTAAAACACTCAGTGTTTCATGATAAAGTGCCTCGTGTCTTTTTTTTTTTTAATTTCAAGTTGTGCACACTAGCAGTGCTATGAATACAGCTTCATTTGGAAGGAAATTTCTGAATATTTTTCTTAATCCTCAGAAGTTTCTTTCTAAAACTGTTGAGTAAATAGTCCCCAGTCCTATCTGTTTTATAGCCCCCTCTCTGGTAGATCACAATGCTTGTGTTTCTTCAATTCCTTCCATTTATCATTCATTTTTTTAAAAAGATGTGTCGACTGAAATAAATACACAACCTAAAAGTTGAGAGTTATGGTTTACTCGGTGGACATTTCTGAGGACTTGAACCCCTTTGAGCCCAGATGACAGCCTCTCAGATGGCTCTGAGGGACTGCTCCGAAGAGGTAGGGGAGGAGCCAGGACATATAGGAGTTTTGCAACAAAGACCAGGTAGTTGGAACATTAAAAGATGACTGTTACCTAAAGAAAACCAGACATCACAAGTTAAAGATTTTAGTGCTTTTCTATGTATGGAAGGGAACAAGTGTCTCTGCTCATTGAAGTTATTCCTTTGACAAGCATCTAGCTCTCTAGGGCCTGTATCCTGGCCATTCACATTCTGTGTCCCCTCAATAGGGTATGGTTGCAGAGGCCAGGCTGCCTGATTGTTCATATACTGAGTTAGTGCTAGAGGCTGATGACTTGATGGCCACAGCATCCTTTATTTACTAATAAGGCTTGCAGTATTTTTCATTCACAGATGTCACATCAAAAAAAAAAAAAAGAAAGAAAGAAAGAAAATGCCTATAGTAACTGCACTGTGAATTTACTATAGCTATAAGTGTGTAGACACCATTCATTTGTAAACAGAAAAGGGTAATCTTGTAAAAATAGTATTTATTAAAGGAAATGAGGAGTACCCTCTTACACTGGTAATCAAAAGTGATTTTTATATTTTTGTCTTTGAGTTAAAGTGCCCTGTTTATACAACATGAAAAAGAAATAAAAATTTTACCCCCTCTTTATTATAGTGCAGTCTAGTTTTTCATAGTTAAATATTTATTTAATAGAAAATGAAGGGGAAATTTCTACATTCATAACCAGTATATAAAACACACAACTTTTCCCTTCTTTTCCATGGACAATGTACTTCTTGTTCATCATATAGTTCAGAGTGATTATGATGTACACTAATGCCCAGAGCTTTTACTAAATGTCTTGTGCATGCAGTATTGAAGGGTAGATCCTTGGAGGAACTGGATACATATTTCATAAGAAGTTATTTGTAAGAAGTTTTAAATGAATATTCCTACCTAATTTAAAAGCCAAACTCAAAGACTGATGCTAATAAACTCCAATGAAAAAATCATTTTAAAAATAAACTAATGATAACATTTGGAGAAGAGAATCTTAGAACAATAATACTATACTAAAAGCAGAGCTATAGATACTCAGTTCTTCAAAGATAGGGAATCACATCAATAAATCTTCAGCCTGCCTTGGCATCCCAGTGGAACATGGACTGTAATTTTTCTGATAATCTTCCTCGCATCATGCTCTGAGGTAAAATCCACTGGGACAGAGACACTGGCAAAACCATGCAATCAACTTCCATCTAAACCATTAGCAGGAGAAATAGTAACCTACTCTTCCCCAGGTAGGTTAGAAAAGTGTATTTCAAAATGGTGAGCTTTGACTCACTGAGGTGTAAAATCATCACTACAATAGCTCAAGATAAGAATTTGAAAAATTAAAGAGTATAATACAATGGACTAGAATAAAAAAAAATGTTTGGAGTACGTTTTGTAAAACAAACAGTGTTTTTTGTCTGATTTTATATTAGTTTTGGTGAAAGTTTCAAGAGCATCCAGGTTTGATGTGAACAAAACCAACTAAAGGACTAGAAGGGAAAGAAGAGATAATCTAGTTGAATGGCTTTTTAAAATATAAATACAGATGAATAAACTGAG